AATTATATTTTAATTTATTTAATTCATAATACGAAATTAATAATTCATTTATCACAGTATAGATCATATTCGTTTATATCACAATCTGATGTTAAGGTTTTACTGCAGAAATTATATTGAATTTAAAATGTAGAAAGATACACAATTTGCCATTATTTGAAATGCAATATTTCTCAACTTTTAAACTATACAGAGTATAATATAATGATTAGAATGCCTGTAACGGACAGTTTTTGAGAAAGAAATATTAGTCGATTAGTCCCATTTTTCAGATATGCCCTACAGTTGTATTATTGTATATCTCCAGATAGATGTTTACATTGTAGTACTCATTATTTGTGGATAATTCAAACAGCAACATAGAAAATATATATTCTACCATGACGAAAGAATACAGAGTATACAATAACTCGCAATTGTTCAAAAAGAGATTTCAAATCACAATAACATATCTGATAAAAACAGAGGTGGTGACACTTTAATCTCTATATTGTGCCCTTGTTCGTGAGCCCTTGTTCTATTCAGCAAACAGCCCAAACCCGAAACTCCACAATATATCCGATAACACTGACCCAGACTGGTCCCAGCTGGATTCCCCCAAACGTCAGTTCTCCATGCGATACTGACACCCTTGTACGGCTCCCCGACCACAGAGAATAAATTTAAAAGGAATCCATCTCAAGTCTAGAACGATTTGGCAAGCCCAGATTGCCTCAATTCTATCCATGGATGTAAGCAATAATAAAACAAGATTGTTCTTGGCTCCTATAGATTATATTTTGTAGATACATATTTTTAACTACGAAAATTTTACCGACACCGGTACTGTCCCTTGAGTGAGTGAGTGAGTGAGTGAGTTTGTTTTTAAGCCGCTTTTAGCAATATTCCAGCAATATCACGGCGGGGGACACCAGAAATGGGCTTCACACATTGTACCCACGTCGGGATTCGAACCCGGGTCTTCGGCGTGACGAGCGAACGCTTTAACCACTAGGCTACCCGACCGCCCCTACTGTCCTTGAAGCTATTCATAGCTCGAATAAGAATTTCGAATTATAGTCCATTGTTCGATGTCAATACATCGATGACAAGTAAGGATATCATAATAGTAATCGTTGATGCCGCGCTACACTATAATGAACATTATAATCAAGTTGACTAGTATGTACATTACTACAGTGAACATGTACATGATCATGCCCTTCGAAATATCAAATACTAATATGTTATTGTTGAATGAATTTAACTGGATCTTTGGTGACATGTGATATTAATAATCCATCAATTTCTTTCCTGGTTGGCCTATCCATGTCTACAAAATAATAATAAAACATGAAAAAGGAGGACAGAACAATTCTTGATTTCAGGCTAGAGCTGTGGGAAAATCTAGACTTTCCCAATCATTGTAGCCTTGCGTTGTTCTCATTTTTTACTTTATTCTATTGGGTCTACGTCACAGCTAATACCACACAATAACAACACCAGTTTGCCCCCCGTCGGAGCTCCTGGATTTTGGTTTTATCATCTAACATGGCCGACTCTGCTTTTAAGTAAACAAGAACCTAATCAGTGAGGGGTCCTTTATCATCCCTATTTGACTGCTTATAAAAATCTTATATCTCTCCTCACAGCTGGTTAATATATATTTTTGCTGCTCAGTATTCGAAACAGAGTGACTGAGTTGGTACTACACATGTATACGGTTCCATTTTAAATGACCGCAGCGCTCCATTATGAAAACAAATTGTTTTAACGCCGCTCTCAGCAGTATTCCATTGATATATGACGGCGGTCTGTTGTATATGAAATAAATGCAAATTGAATCTTGAATCAAGTTGTAGCGTTTCCGCAAACCAGTATCACATGCAGTATGCAGTATATCAACTGCAATATACTGTATACAACATGCTGTATACAGTGTGTCGCGAGCTCCGCGCTGGGCTGGAACACACATTTCCTACCCCTCTCCCTTCGGCAAACAGCTCATGGGAGGCGTAACGAGGTCACAGGTCCGGCGTGCACTCGTCAGTTGTCTTATACGGTCAAGAGTAAGATCTTCCAGACGATCACTGCACTAGAGGAATGTAGATTGCTAATGAGGTACAACGTGTTTGGAACTGGGAGTTGAACACTAAGCACTTATAGAGAAGAGCTCACCATACATGCATAAAACGTTATGGTCTCGCGTACGGACTTGTGTTTTCAATTCAAGATGTACATATATCAGGTTGAACTTCTACGACAGATATAACTTGGTTACCGCTCCCTAACTGCAATATAACTGAACTGCCTTTTATACACATTTGTGATGGGGCGACAATGCGACAATGAGACATATTTTGACATTGAAAACGGCATTGTAGCCCTTTTGTAAAATATAGAAAAAGATTATTCAAAGAGCGACAATACGACAAATGGCCAAAATTTCGCGTTGTCGAATTGTCGCGCTCTGGTTAATTTTGATACGTTTTGTAAGAGCGTCAATGCGACTATACGACAACGCGACAATGTCCCTTCCAAGATTCCATAGTGATCCGAGTTATGAAATAGAAGTCTAACATGCAAATTAAAAGATAAAGTGTAAAAATGCGCTATAGCAGCTTGTGATTTCAAAGCTCTTCAAGAAGGATTATCAATAATGGAATGGGTGATGAGTTCATGTGCATGCCGAGTCAAAACGCTGTGATTAACAATGATGCTCTGAGTCAATACATTTTGTCAAATGTATGACATGTATTACCTGTAGGAACATATTGTTTATACTCGTCCATGTTTTTGACGGACTATATAATTTACATGCTCGGTAATAGTGAGGACGGGCATCATTGTGTGTTTCCGTGCTTTGTTCAGGTGAACAATTGACTTGTCCTTGCATGTGTTTGTGACGGGTGCCACCTGTATGGCAGGATAGGCTCACCTTTTCGCGAACACCCGTTGGATGGCCTGAACCACTTCGGATTTTTATCCCACATCAGTCTGACACACCGTGATATAACTGGTGTTTAATGCGATCACCGTAGTGTGTTACTGCAACTGTCCAAATTATCTGTAGTGATGTTATGTAATATGTAAAATAAAGCATATTCAATTATACAATTGATTTGATTAGAATATACTTGCGTCAGTGTATTTTATTAACGCCCAAAACCGTATTTGTTAAACACATATAATAACAGATCATATACACGCATGGTGCCTTGACTTACTAATAGCTTTAATAGGCTATTCCGGAATAAAATAGTTCCCCCAAAACCGAGGAACATTTGTTTTAGTTTGTTTACAAGAAATGTATTCCCAAAAATATCCTTATTAGATGAGAAGGTCTGGTAAAGGATTACCTCAGTAAGTCAATCACAAGGACAGAGCGTCGTAATACATTTACATCAAGTTCAAGACGTCAAAATGGCCGACACGATATACGTGACGGGAGACATTTCCGAAGTTGTTAATTAACCTGTGGCTATTTCAAGCCTTTGGCATCACTGATCAATTGGCCGATCATTGAAAGGTGATTGTAAAGATGTGTCAAATAGATACTAACGTAAATTCATAGATTGCTGTAGATTGTCACTATGATAGATTGGATTTTTGGGGGGTTTTTCGTTTTGTTTTCTCTAGGATGCGTTGTAGCGGACATGCAATCAAACTCTATGACTTATCACAGAGTATGCTAAGACGCTACGTTCAAAATTAAAGGGTCTAAATGATGAGAAACAACGCTTCTGTAAATTACTATGAATTCGTACGAGGGAATTCCCAGGGTTTTCCCCAGGAATGTGGAAGTGGTCAGTGTTTACGTCATTTCAAGAATACAGTCACGTGACAAACGTCATGTGACCCACCTTTCGTCCTATGGAAAAGCCGTATATCGGGTAAACTTCACATTACAAAATTAGTTACTTTTATAACCAAATGAAACTCAACCCATTATCCGATAGATGTTATCTCAATAAACTTTGTAACATGATTTGGTTTGACTTCTTGGCGCGTGTCTGAATGCCATTAACGTGTTACATATCCTAAAACTGACTAATCAGCAAATCTCGCTGCACTGTGCGCGATAGATACTAGAGCAAGGCATGCAAGAAATACGAAACCTAATGCTTCCGAAAGGAAGCCTTGGGCATCACGTGCGTCGGGGGGACCAGCGCCATCTGATTGGCCTTTAACAGTTGTAAAAGGCGGAGCAAAAAGCATATCCGTTTTTCCGTCCATTTTACGCTTGAAAAACTCGACGCTTTTCCGGACACTTTCTAGACGCGAACCAATTATTCAATTGTAATGAATTTTTAGTCGTTTTTCCGTCCAATGACCATATACGGAAAAAACGACGTTTTCATGTTTGCAGTGATACGTTTGTGGACATTTGAGATCTGCCTAGATATGCACGTTTCGTTTTATTATTCTGCTGGCCCGGCCCGGACTCACTTTGCTAGGCCCGACTTTAAGGCAATTCCAGTTCCCTTTGTGGTGGTCTGTTGCTCACTTGTCCCTGTCCCTACGGTCAAAGCGATTGGTATTTTGGCACATGATCATACAAATTCGTATGCCAATTTACCAAAACCGTTCCGTGTACAATGAGGAAACTTTGCACGGATCATACTACCGATTGTGTTTATCAATGGCGTTAAAAGCGACTCCTTTAAAGTCAAGTTTGATTCCCATAGCAACTGAACCAAAGAAGCATTGATCAAGGTCACAGCGTTCAAGGCCACAGGAAAGCTTTCAAAAAGTGTTACGGTGGAAATTTTCCCATTCACTCCTCGAACAGTTACAACAGGGCTCTGAGCCATTCTTTCTTAGAGCCCTAATAAATAAAACATTTAACTTTTCATGTCAAATATCAAGTTTATCTCTCCTCGTGACCTAACAAAGGTGTGAGATGTTCTCACTCAGCCGCGCCACTGAAAAAGAAAGATATATAGAAAGAGAAATAATTATGCCCCATGTTGTACACAGAATATTAGATAATCCGAACCTGACAATTTACGAATACTTACGTATATTTGGTGGCGTGTCCGGGCATACTGGAAGTAATGTTGTATCCAATGGCCTTTGTGTCGTTGCTGTTGCTGTTCTCAACTCTTCGATCCTCGACACTAATTTAAATGCTTCCTTTAAGCGTTTGTGTATGTACTGGTTGACCTCATTTTTACTTATTATGAACACACCAAATACACTGGCGATTATCAAGACCACAAAATATAGTCTTCTCAAGCGTTGTAAGAACGAGGCCATATGTAACTTGCACACCGTCACCCTTTCGATAAACCAAGATTACAAAAGACACGCCTGTAATAGTGATTTTAACAGTGATGGCTCTTGGCATGCGTACGATATATCGTATGTCAACACCGGGCAGTAGACGCCAATCACGCGTGGCAGGTGAAGGAACTCGAAATATCATTTATTGTTCTTATTCTCCATTATTAAAGTGATTCACACACAAATGTACATCAGGTAGTATGTTGATTATGTATCCTTTTCCTGGATAGAATTCCGACTGGTTGAAAACCTGAAAAAGAAGGTTATATTAAATATTTAGCTAACAGGGAAAAAGTGCTGTCTATGCCAACCCGGATGTTGGTAGGTAGCCACTTCCATTTTCTCGCTTGACAGTAAAAATTGTGATTTCAACATAGCACATGGAGCAGGGTTTAGGCAGGTTTTAGTCCCTTTACATTCTAATTTGAACTAAATATAACTAATACCATGCACCGAAGGGCTTCCGAAGTGGATTCGTTATATTAGGTATATACGACACTCAATAATAAGTTCAATATTTCTTCCTTTACTTTGGTGTCATCTGACGACGAGTAAAAAACCTGGTGCTTTTCAGAGTGAAAACGACGTCATTACTACATGAAAGCGCAATTGCGTGTTAATGTAAGCTTTATTATGCTGTTTGAGGATTGGTATTAATGTATTACCTTTCTGTGATGTGTTGTTAATCTCAAAATTAACGCGAGTCTGAATTAAATGCGAAAAATGCGAGTGGTCTTTTTCTCGCATTAATTAACTCATTTATGTCTCCAAAATGACTATCAACAATAAGACGATATATAACGAGATAAATAACAAAACACAATTGTTAAAGGTAACTGGCTGCGTGAACAAATTTACAGTCAGTGTTGTTGGAATAATACTGGCTGGGAAGTTAGTATAAGAAAGTAACATGTTCTGATGAAAAGATTTCAGGACGTTTTCTTAGTCCCTCTATTCTCTCATAGTATTTCAGCTAACTTCATTTTGCCGCAGATAGCTGTAAACGTCCTCGTGCGGCTTTAAACAAAAACGCCTATTCGCTCACTTGCTGAATAAAAGCAACATATACATTTTCAACAAGTCAACGAACACATCTTCTTAAAGCAATGCCCATTGTTCAATTCATATTACATTACATTAGTTTGTTTGATGTTTATGCCGCACACAGCAATATTCCAGGTATGTGACGACGATCGACTAAATCATAAGCATTTGCTTATCAAATAGTGACGATACCAGGTGTTTGCGAAAAGGTGAGCATATCCTGCCCCACAGGTGGCACCTGTCACAAACACATACAAAGGCAAATCAAGTGTTTACCTGAAAAAAATTACATTGTTATAACTCTGATCATATATGTTTTAGCAAGCTGTGTACATGTATGTCCCTATTTGTAGAAAGCGGATGCTCTATTGTACATCAGAAGTTGTGAAATGTAGACACCAACTGCTGGAGCTGCTCGGGTATTACTCAAAATACAGGGAAAGTTGAAGTCACCAAATTCTCCTGAATCTTTGAAGATAGAGATGTACCTATTGTTACTACGTTACTGGCCCGTGAAGATCCGGAGTAGAATAGGTCTTCAGCAATCCATGCTTTCCGTAAAAGGCGACTGTGCTTGTCGTTAAAGGCGACTAGCGGGATCGGGTGATCAGACTCGCTGACTTAACTGATACATGTCATCGATCCCAATTGCGTGGATCGATGTTCGTGATGTAAATTGTTTTGACTCGATTTTTTTACAGACCGCCGTCATATAGCTAGAATATTGCTGAGTGCGGCGTAAAACAACAAACCAAATCCAAATACTACATTACTACGCCCCATTGGTCGAGGAAGGACGTTTCTCCTAAGACTCTCATGTGGGATGTTTACATGGGTAAGTTGAAAAATCAGATGCTTTGACATAATTGAACTTTGGATTGTAGAAATTCAAGTAAATTATTTGAGGTTTTGAGAACCCGAGTGGTATGAATTCCACTTGTTTGAAATAATTTCTATGATGATTTCAGTAACCATACTGGCCTTTTCCTAATACGTAGCACTGTTTGATATGTCATTTTCCCCAATTCTTTCATGCGTCTTTAGTACTAATTTGACAAATTTCATTTTCTTTTAGAACCACGGACATCACGGCAATTGATTACTCTTGCATGTCACAATCCCTTAGTTTCAAGCAGCCACATCACTGGTACTCATGTAAGAGATAAAAGTCTAAATATGGCCATTCACTGCATGTGAAAGAGTTTTGCGATCAGGGTGTTAGTTGTCAATTTTAGGTGCTTAAAATGCACTTTAATGAATCCTTGGAGTCTGTAACCTTGAGAAACGTTGTAATGTTATTAATACAAAAATCAGTAAAAGGTAAAGCATTTTGTGACCGGAACTAGCATGTTCGAGGTAAAGCTTACGTTTTGTGTACAATCAAAAGCATGACAGTAATGACATTTCTTCAAAACATGACAAAATCCCTATCATCCACAACATGAGAGATATTTACCACGAATGTGTGTACCGAACTCTCGAACCTATTCTCCGATCAAGACCGCCTCACCATAAAAATACATATAGATTTGGACCTGTGAAGATGAGGGTTAGAACAGATCTTCAGCAACCAATGCTTGTATTAAAAGATGACTATGGTTGTCGTTAGAGGCGACTAACGGGATCGGGTTGGTTGTTAGGCTCGCTGACTTGGTTGATTGGATGCATGTCATCTTATCCCAATTGTGTGGATTGATTCGCGTGATGTCAATCACTGGATTGTCAGGTCCAGACTTGATTATTTGCATGACCTCCGTCATATAGCTGGCATATTGCTGAGTGTGGCGTTAAAAAAAAAAAAAATAAATAAATAAAAAAAATTTAACCGCTTATTTCAAATTCGAGATAAAAATACATAGCGCCATCTCGAACTCCCAATCTGACTTTACAATAGAACTGTGTACCATGATATCGAAGTTTGAATTTGCCACCGTGACCGCTCTAAGAAATCTTAATTAGAATTTTACTTAACTGTAAACAATTCTCCTCGATACAGGTTGAGGAATCCGTAATGAAGTAATAAAAAGTGATCATTTGCAATATTGTCAAACTTAGTTTCATCCACAGAAACCACGGACCTTTTTCGCAAAACTAAAATTCAACTCAATCCTTCACTTGTTTTTCTGTCACAATGTTTATTGATTATTACCTGCGAAATACATTTCATTTAGTCATCGAGATGAATTTCAATTAGCCGCACGTTACACCTGTTGTATTCTGAATTGATCGTCTATGCAATCGTATTTCTAAGGATCTATAATACACAGTCTGTTACTCAGTTTTATTTCGCTTATTGACTTTTTACGAGGTGGACAGGGACATTTATTTTACATGCAAACAACATGTTATTCAGGAAAATATAATAATATGATAGGGATATGTGAACACACAAATAATTATTTATTCAAACACCTCTTCCTTTAAAAAAACATATATATTAACATACACAAATGGTTTTTACAAACAATAGTTGATTTTATGCTTCCAAACAAACCACACGCAAGCTATTGTTGAATTTTAAAATATAGCCAAGGTAAATGTATCCACAATCATATTTAATCACAAATATCGTTCTGTTCTATATAAATGTAACAAGTGAACTAACCATTTCAGTGGATCTCAACATGGACAAAACTGTTGGAGATGTTCAGTGAGTGAATGTTTATTTAATGAAGTAAAAACGTAGATTCTTTCTTTTGGTAAAAACATGTAGCTGTACATCTTATAGATGTTCCAAGAGAAAATAATATAATATCTACCTATATACCACTTTATAGTGTATCAGATCGCGGTATGTAAAGAAAACTTGGTGCTCAAAGTGAAGCCATTTTCCCTCTACATTGATGATACATCTGTGTGTTTAAAGTTGATTTTGACAGCCCGGGCCAAGTCGGACCCACCACAAGCCAAACACTTTTGATAGAGACTATGTTGAGAATGTAGAGGGGAAAGGGCTTCACTTTGAACACGTTGTTTTCTTTAAAAACGATTTACTGTGACATTATAAAGTGGTTTATAGGTAGATAAAATACTAAGCTATAGATGTAAACACATTTGATGATACATCTGCGTATTTAAAGTTGATTTTAACAGCCCGGGCCAAGTCGGACCCAACACAAGCCAAACACTTCTGATAAGAGACTATGTTGAGAATGTAGAGGGAAAAGGGCTTCACTTTGAGCACCTTGTTTTCTTTAAATACCGCGATCTGATACACTATAAAGTGGTATATAGGTAGATATTATATTATTTTCTCTTGGAACATCTATAAGATGTACAGCTACATGTTTTTATTAAAAGAAGGAATCTACGTTTTTACTTCATTAAATAAATGAAAAATTAGTTAATTCTTTAAATGGACTGACGAAAACATGGGCGAACTATTTTAATAACGCCAAAAATTAGTTGAATTAAGTTAAAATGAGTTGAATCATGTGTCATGCTTATAATCCCTTAATGTATTTGCCAAACTTAAACTGTTGAGCAAAGGAAAATATTCTCGCCCATGGGCCAAACCTTATTCTCGCCCATGGGCGAAATATTTCAATATCGCTATAAAATCGTTGAATTAAGTTAAATTGAGTTAAATCATGTGTCATGATACTTGAAAGAAATACATATATGTATTTGCGAAACAAAAACATGAGTTTTGAGTAAAGGAAAATATTTGGCCAAACCTTTTTCTCGCCCATGGGCGAAATATTTCAATATTGCTATAAACTCGTTGAATTAAGTTAAAATGAGTTAAATTTTGTGTCATGATACTTGAAAGAAATACATTTATGTATTTGCGAAACATAAACATGAGTTTTAAGTAAAGGAACATATTCTCGCCCATGGGCCTACCCATGGGCCAATATTCGCCAATTCTCATGTAATAAATATTCTTAGTAATTATAATGAGCAAACTTTATTTCTAGTTTGTAAATTCTTATACTATGCTCACAAAATAATTAATGATAAATTCTGTGCACTGTAAATGTCATGCTCACATGTCTGTATTTTGGGCCATTGGCCTTTTACTGAATAAATATGTCTGTCTGTCTGTCTGTCTGTCAAAAACACACATCTTGTGTTTTTTTTATAATACATGTGACACCTAGTATTGTTGATGGGATAACCATTACATCACATTGTTTAGTAAACAATAAAACAACACTTTAATTTGGCTGTGAAGTTCTTTCGATTTGTTTGCTTATTAATACCAGCTTTTGGTAATTACTATCGTGTTTGAAATGAATAATCGGATTTTGTTCATTGTTTACATTCCACCTGAAGTAGAAATATTTTCAAAAAAAAACAAAAAAACATGTGATGAATAGCTTCGTACTGTAGTAGCAATGACGAATCATTTAAAAATATTTGGTGTGGTTTTGAACATTGAAAGAGTAATAACAATATGTGTAATATTGAAATTTAAAAGATAAAAAAATATATGTTGCTGTGTTGATCACTGTATGATTTGTATGACTATCTCATATGTCACATAACTATTGTTAGGCTGAAGGAGATACCATATGTTATGGTCTCTGGCTGAAATAATACTTTCTTCTGTTATGTGCATGCACCTATCGAAACATAAATTCCTACTCACATTTGTTGTAACCTCAAACAAAACGTGTTGAACTTGTGAAAAAGTCCTTTCATCAAGCCTTATAATATAACCAGCAGCAACGTAACTGTAACGTGTTGGCTTCCATTGTTCATTGCTAATCACCTATCGGCCCCAATCATCTGTTGCCTTCCCTTGTGAAGTTTCCACCTTTCGTTATCTTATTACTTTTATTGTTCTTACATGTACATATATATGTTCTCTGCCTCCTGGGATACGTGGTTTCTTGGTCGTTCACAGGTTGGTTCGTTGATTCATCAGTCAGGAGGCAGACTGGTAAGTCACATTACCATGACCTCATCGGATCGTAACATCAACAGGTCCCTTCCTAGGGACCTCGTGGGGAAATTTCTCCCCCTACTTGCATTCAGAGTGGGACGCTACTCACTGAACGCGGACCTGTCTACTGTAGCGAAATCACTCACCATAACCTTTGACACCAAACAGCCAAAAAAAGCCACGCCCAGACCTCCAGCCACTACCAGCGCCCCACAAGCCACAGTCATTAGCCAAGCTACATCGCCTTTCACCACCCAAGCTCAGGAATACATAAATATGGACACTGATCTCTTAAACCAACCTTCAGCCACTAGCATTGCTTCCCCTACTTCTAGCCCTGCTCCTACCTCCCCCACTCCTGTCCCCCTCCAGGATAAAAAGAGGAAAAGACGAAGTACCCCCACTCACCCTCCATCTACAGACCACTCCACACAGACGCAAGTTTGCGGCCCTATTAAAGTCCCCAGTCTCGACTGCTCCACACAAACACTAGAAATTCCAATCCCTCCCCCATTACCCAAAATCATAACCACTAACTTAGCTACCTCACCCATAAAGTCTCCTGTCCTCTCCACTACCCCCTCTCAAACTGACCCCGTAGAACCGGAACCAACACCACCTGAAATACAACTAACCCAAAATCTTACCCAACACGCTGACCAAATTATCTCTACCAACTATCTGCTACCAGAACCACTCCCGCTACAAGCCCCTGGAATTAAAATTTATAAAAGCACTCACGAACGCCCCATCTTCACCATGGTCCAGTACCCGGAGAGAGAAAGGTTTGAACACGAAATCTTAACACTTCAAGACCTAAATTCTTTACTTCTTGACACCCAAGATCAGAGCATCACTTTAACCCCACAATTCATCATGAACAAGAGCAGAGATCAGCTGTGTTCACTAACCACACATACATGTAGTTCTATACTGCATTAATCAAAGACCCCATTATAATAATGCACCTCTCAGTGAATAGACTGCGGGAGATCTAGAGGAACAATATAGATGCATAAGATGAAGCGTTAACTTTGCACTTGGTTCCCATAACTATCCATATATGCACCCATACCCTCATTCTGGGCATTCTAGATTTAATAGGCAGAAAGGACATTTCATATTTCCTTAAAATGACAATATTATTTTGAATAATGCAAGGTAATACAAACTCAGGACACTAATAATAGATAATTGGATAACAACTATTAGGTAAGATAGTGGTAATGCTCAGGCCTAATGAATATAATTGAACTCACAGTAATGTACTCCTCTCATTTAAAAAGTGAGTGAGTGAGTGAGTATGGTTTTACGCCGCTTTTAACAATATTCCAGCAATATCACGGCGGGGGACACCAGAAATGGGCTTCACACACTGTACCCATGCCGGGAATCGAACCCGGGTCTTCGGCGTGACGAGCGAACGCTTTAATCACTAGGCTACCCGACCGCCCCATAATGTTAATAAGATACGCTGACTGGAATGAGTCCGGTTTGGCTTTTAGAATTAAATGTTTACTTTCCGAGCATTTGCAGTGGACTCACTGGCGCAGTTATGGCAAACCAAGAATCATACTAAGGACGAATCCAGGATTCGTAACGATGGTTACGGGATTCTAGATGTAGCATTCCTACGAGAGGCAACTCTGCACATCGTATTGCGGTGCCTTATGCACTGGATGACCCGTGTCCCCTCTACGAACAAAGCATGCAATAAATTAAGACAAACTAAATGCTAAAAAGCTGTCATACCCATTATGTATGTGTTTATGTCGTAACAGGATACGCTCACCTTAACGAGAACACCTGGTATAATTGTATAGTGATTAATATAAATGCTTACAAACCACGTGGTTATGTATTATCAAACACGTTTTTATTTCTCCTTTAATGCTGCAATAAAAATCCGTATTCGACAACATAAAAAACAAATTGCCGCACTCAGCAATATTCTAGCTATATGACGGCGGTCTGTAAATAATAAGTTTGGACAAGACAATCCAGTGATTAACATCAGCATCAATCCACACATTTGGGATATGATGACATGCATCAAACAAATCAGCGAGCCTGACCACTCGATCCCGTTAGTCGCCTATTACGACAAGCAAGGGGTCTTGAAGAGCTATTATAACCCGTATCTTCACGGGTTGCTAAGTATGGTTTACAATATATGAAAGGCTAAGCTGAAACTCGAATTGAATACAAAATCAACCTCCCATTGTACTTGGAGGTGGTAGTCCAGTGTTCTCCCTTCACAATACCCTGGATCAATTGGTACACTGTGTGAAGCCTATTACTGGAGCCTCCCGACCTGATATTGGTGGCTTAAAGATGAGTAAAACCATACTTACACACTCACGTACTTATTGTAGTCTTTTATGGAATCAGTACAATTATCTTGTAATCCGCTCGTACAAGTTCAGTATTGCATACACATCGATTGTCCAAAAGTGTAACATCAAATAGAAAAGATGTTGCGAACTGGATACTGTATCAAACAGCTCGCTATCGTTATGTGACAAGGATATCCACACATAACACATGGCTAGATTTACTGTGCACAGCTGTGCGCGGGAGGGAGACCCACCCAACGTTTTAAACAAAAAGCCATATTATGGACAGGAAATCAATGACACAAAGATTAAGTAAAGTCATTCATGTTTTCTTCAAAAAATTATACAGCAATATTTTCAGACCGTCATTCATGTTTTCTTCAAAAAATTATACAGCAATATTTTCAGACCGAAGTCGTATTTGTTAGCATAGGGTGTCAAATAAACAGTCGTTTGTAAAGTGACGTCCTTTTATGTTGTAGGATGCGGGATCTGATTAAAGGATGAAAGGAGAAATCTAAGAAAACGTGTTTGATAATACATAACATGGGCGGATACAGAGGGGGGGGGGGGGGGGGGGGGGGGGGTGCGGGGTGTGTGCACCCCCCTTTTATTTCGACACAAGACAATAAAAAGATCTTAATTGTGCACACCCCCTTTTCAAAAAAGCTGTGTCCGCCCATGCATAACCACGTGGCAAATGTTCGGAAAATAAACGCTTAATTCTAAAAGCCAAAGTGAACTCACTCACACAAGTAACCATCGTATTTGCATGGTTTGTTCATCAAAGCTGGAGTCCAGGTCAGCGTATCTTACATAATACATTACTGTGAATTCAAATTATATATATATTAGTTAATAGTTGTCATCGAATGTACACCTTGGCGAATAGCATCAACACCAATATTATAACTCATCAGATCTAGTATTAAAAGGTCTTCAGCAACCCATGCTTGCCGTAAAAGTCGACTATGCTTGTCGTAAGAGGCGACTAACGGGATCGGGTGTTCAGGTTCGCTGACTTGGTTGGTGCATGTTATCGATCCTAATTGCGTGGATCGATGCTCATGATATTAATCACTGGATTGTCTGGTCCAGACTCGATTATTTACAGACCGCCGTCATATAGCTGGAATATTGCTGAGTGCGGCGTTAAACAACAAACGAAACCAAACCAAAAGTATTATACGGACCGCCTCCGTGGTAAAGCGTCCGCCCGGAGTACGGAAGTCGAGTTTCGATCTCCGGCTACGTCATACCAAAAGACGATAAAGGAGGACACTTGTGGTTACCCTGCCTGGTGCTCGGCATAAAGGGGCTTTAACAAGTACTGGTAGGCTCGGAGTCTATGTGGTGTGGTGCTAATAGGGTAACATGAATCTATCCAAACATGCGGAAGATATCAACGGAAACAGTGAATTCAGTGCCGGGGATCAGAGGATTAAAAACAGCGGCAACAACACAAAATACATTGGATATAACATTACTTTCCACTTGTCCTGAAACACCACTAAATATAGATGAGTAGTTATAGATAGTCATTTAATATTCTGTACAACATGAGGCCAATTTTGTTTAATGTTGACCTACAGTACACTCTTAAAAAAAACAACCCAAAAAACCCGCACAGGTTGATTTTTAGTAAATGTAATTATCAATAATGTAATAAGGTAATGTGGGTAGTTGGATCAGTCCACTTTACTGAATGAATGGATGACAAGACAGCCAGAGATAATCATACATATTTTAATCAACATAATATAACAAGTAGCCTCTATTAACAACTATATACATGTATGTGTCTCTCAGTGTCTCTGATTGATTAATGGGATTTCCAGATGCACACCAGTTAGTTCCATTCACCATGATTGTGAGCAACCAGGTCAACATAGTCCATGATTGAAATGATACCAGCATTCAAACTGTCTTTAGTCCTTCTTAACCGTTGGTCAATGGCGATGTACTTTCTTTTCCTTCTTGGCTCACGCTGATGACTTGTCCATTTTGCTGTGCCAACTTCACCTCTGTCACAGACTGTTCTCTCTTGATCAGTTTCACAGAGTCATACACATTTGGGTGGCATGTTGTAAGAGAGTTAAGCTTAAAGTGTCAGCCTTCTAAGTGGCTATTAGTCCAGTGTCCATCATTGGTAAATTGGTTCCAAACTTGTGCTGACCAGTGCTGCTCCTCCACCCATGTTGTGACATAGTCCATGAACTTGACGGCGGCATCATCACCTGGGGTGCATCAGCAGTAGCGTCCACGTCCAACCAGACATTGTCGACCTGATGAATGGGTGCAAGAGGAAGAGCCTTAGCTCTCTCAGATAGCTTCGGAAAGTCGGCATCATTCTTGTAACGAGAGACAAGTCCAAGGTGCTGAATTCTCCTCCACAGAGCCTGGGAAAAGTGAAAATAACATCCACGTATCTGAATGTTATCAAACACGGCTAATGCTGCATTGGCGACGGCTTTCTCAAAGTCTATCTGAAGAATCTGGGGCTGGAGGTTGAGATGCAGTCTCTCAGTTTCTGTCTTCAGTAAACGGAAGGCTGTTGTGTAGGTTTCGTGTGACTTGTTGGGCAGAAGAAAGTACACTAATGGATGCATAATTCCTTGAACCTCTGCATGGATGGGGTATGTTTGTAGAAACAAACAAGGTGATGAAAAGAAAGTTCCGTCAGCATACATGATGTCCGCATTGCACAAATGTTCTAATTTCTCTCTTGTGGCAAAGATAAGAATCTTGCCATGGTCAGCAATCAGAAACTGTTCTCCTGCGTCCGTTCTTGTCCAGGTTTCTTCCAAGGCAACTGTTGATCTGGTCTTTCGAAGTCTGGGTATGTTCTTCTGTCTTTCCCTGTACATAGGTGACCTCATGCTGTCAAAAGTTGGAAAATGGCAGAGATATTCCCCAGGAACTTCATCACCATGTCGTCTGAGGTTGGCCAGTTCATCAGCATAAATGCGTGGGATAGGCGTGGTCTCATTTCTGGCACGACCAAGAAGCTTGCTTCTAAAGGCATCAACATGATTGAGATAAGGAGCTGATTGGTGATTGTGTTCTGGGCCGATCTTTACTAGTCTGTCCACAACTGTCATAATGTTTTCCTTGTAAGTAGCCTCAGTACACCTACAGTAGGACTGCATCATTCTTCTTTCTGTTCACTCTAAACTTGTAACCTCCATGATAAGCAGGGGTGCCCCCGGTTTCCTAACTGCAAGGCCTGGATTCACAGCGGAAATGACGTCATCATTACACATTACCAGGAAAATGGCGACCGGCTGGTTCCTTTTTCATTTTGGGAAACAGGTGGAAGTCTGACGGGGCCAAATCGGGTGAATAAGGGGGATGGTCAATGAGTTCGAAGCCACAATCATGGATCGCTGACATGGCAAGCACCGATTTGTGAACAGGAACATTGTCTTGGTGGAACATGACTCCTTTTGTGAGCATTTCCCGTCGCTTAGCTTTGATAGCTTCACGCAACTGTCTCAGTAGGTCAGCATAATATCTTCCATTGGTAGTCTGGCCTTTTTCAAGATAGTCAATCAGCAGAATACCCTTGGAATCTGGAGTGATGAATCCAGGTCTAATCCATGGTTAGAAATCGGGCCAAAAAATCATCGGGATCTGCTTAAAAAGGCATAAATTGTCACGGGACGTCAGGAATCTGTCACGTTTCTGATCCACTGTCAAGAGCTTTGGCACCCATCTTGCAGAAACTTTTGTCATTCCCAACTCGTTGGTGATAATGTGCTCAACCCTCTCATGAGAGATGCCCACAACACTGGCAATATGTCGAGTGGTCAATCGTCGATCAACCATCACCATGTCATGCACCGGGGTAATGTTTTCGGGAATGGTTGCTGTTGAAGGCCTTCCTGGACGCGGGTCATCGTCAAGGCTCTCTCTGCCACGCTTGAATTCCGCAGCCCAAATCTTTATAGTGGAAAAGGAAGGGGCATCATCCCCTAAAGTGGAGACCATGTCAGCATGTATCTATGTTGGAGTTAGCCCTTTCAGTTGCAGGTACTTGATGACTGCCCTATAGCCAGTTTTGTCCATTTCTAGTAATTCCAATGGGTAGGTTTACAAGATGGTCTGGTACAAAAACAAAAATAACACTACACTTGCAGTTCTTATGTCTATGATTTATTAAATGATTGTACTTGTTGGTGGCAATACAATTGACATATCCCACTTAGGCTTAGAACTTTTCAGCCAGCCCTCGTAGGTTGCCTCAACTTTTCGGACAAACCTTTTTCGACCAAACACCAAATGGCCTGGCGGGCCAGTGCGCGAAATACGCATATGTCGGAAAGCGCACGTTATATGCCTAATTTAAGTAAGTTAGTATTATATTAGGTTGAGAATTATTGTGTTTTTCAATACATCTTAGACTGGTGAGTCGTCTGCTAGCCCAGCTAGAGATCGAGGATAACCAGCCTGCTCATATTTAGCATAGTAGGAAAGTGTGTCGTCTACTACCCCAGCTGGAGCCATCTGGTAACAATCAATCACAAACCGCCAGTCACCCACTGGCCCATAGCCCCGACAGGTGAATGTCCTCCTATTTTTCACAAATTAAACTACCAGCGGCGGTACAGGAGCATAATTATATCCAATGTCATAAAATACAGAATAATACACCAAGATGGCAGTTTCCATGTAAAGATTAAGTATTTCTATGGTACTTAAATTTATGTACAATAAATCTTGCTAACTGTTCTTAATCTGTAATCTTTTGGGAAGAAAACAGTGGAAAAGTCTGGAAATGGCAGAATCTGACGTAAACCTGACGTATTTTACGTTTAACACTAAAAATGACAGGGACGTGAATTACATCATTAACAGATGAAATAATCTACACACTGATACAATTAAAAACAAGCGTATAGTGGACGAATTCGAAGTCATCTATATCCCCCGCCCATTTTAACGCCCCGTCCCAAACCAGTTAACTGACCCAACATTTATCTTAGCTCATGTCAAAATAGCTGCAATGGAAATTCTAAAATAAACATTTCTAAAACTCCTTAATATCAAATGGCACCAGTACTGTTCAGTATGTGTTTTATATATGGACATGCAATGTTTGGCAAGGAAATATTTCTGCAAAAAATGCCCAGAAATACAAATTTCTAAAATTCATAAATAGCAAACGGCAACAATTCAGCATGTGTCTGATCGATGTGGAAAAATTCATCCGGAATCGAACCCTACCAATATTGTTCTTTAAATCCAACTTGTTGCCATGGAAACGTAACAAATTTCTAAAAGTGCCAGTTCAGTATGTACCTAGTAGACATGCAAAGTTATGTAAGAAAGTATTTAACGTTTTTTGAGTTGTGCTCCGGAAACGAATACCACCCTTATAGGACCTACATGTAAGTCCAATTTGTTGCCATGGAAACGTAAAAAATAAACATTTCTCAAATTCCTAAATAGCAAAGGGCACCCGTTCAGTATGTGTCTGGTAAACATGCAAAGTTTTGTTAGAAAGTATTGAAAGGAGTTTGAGTTGTGCTCCGGAAACTCTACCCTATAGAACCTAAGTCCAACTTGTTGCCATGGCAACATAAAAAATGTAATTTTCTAAAATTCCTAAATAGCAATAGCAAAAGGCACCAGTTCATCATGAGTCTGATAGACATGCAAAGTTTCGTACAGAAATATTTAACGGTTTCTGAGTTATGCTCCGGAAACGATTTCGGGACGCACGCACAGACGGACGGAACCCATTTCTATATCCCCCGCCAACTTCGTTGGGGCGGGGGATAATGACGAGTTGTGATTTATGTAAGAACGTTGTCGTTGTTGTTGCATTAAGTGTTTAAGAGGTCCAAAAAAGTCAGAGCTCCAGATAAGCTTTTGGTGTTGTGGGTATTTTACCCATGCATTTTAAAATCACTGGGTATCAGTAATTCTATCTGGGTATTCAAATTTCTGTTACCCACTAGTTTTTACACATGTGGGTATTTAAGTTAAATATTTAAAAACTCTATTCATCTAGTCCCTGCAAACTGGTGTTGTGTAGGTTCGAGAGCTTTATAGGACTCAAAAATACCACGATACTTTCACAAGAAAGTGTGATGGCAAATGTTCGTAATGTAACTGTCATCGTGGAGTTTAGCAAGGTTGACGGAATGCCCGTTTATAATTTCAAAATAAGCTGCTGATTTGCCAATCGAATACGCAGGGTTACTTCACAATATTTTGATGATACGCACAAGTTTTATTTTTGTAGCGTATCTGTAATGTTCGTTGCGTATTTGATACGCTTGGATATTTTTTACTGCGTATTTCTGCATTTCTGATGCGTATTTTACGCAGATATGCAGCTTATCTGGAGCTCTGGGTCGCCTTCTGCCTAAGCAATTTAGGCTGACCTGTCACTCTGTCATCGTATACCTATTGCGTGGGTCGATGCTCATGATGTGAATCACTTGATTGTCTGGTCCAGACTCGATTATTTACAGGCCGCCGTCATATAGCCGGAATATTGCTTCGTGCGACGTTAAACAACAAACAAACAAACGTAGGCATGAGAGCTTAATACTGAACAATATGATTTATTGATTGGTTCCGCAAACCGGTACCCGCTGGGGCTAAATGAGTTCACAAAGTCTGTGCCTGCGTGATGTATATTGCCAAAAAAGGATGACATATTCTGTCAATACGGACACTGTTTATAAAGAATAAGTAAATGTCTTTTTAAATATATGGACAGATTTTTAATAACACACCCATTTCTGGTAGATAGAAGACTGATAAATTTTGGGACAGATGGTTGTACATGGTAACATTTTGGAATTCATTTTCTCTACTACTTTTAAGAAAAGGACGAACTAACAAAAAAATGGTATTCATATTCTTTTTCATAGCGATTACGTTTCATACATAAACTAGACGATGACTCTGCAGTTGTATTAAATCGAGTTTTCTGTACATTTAGATAATGGCTTAAACAACGGAATGTACATAAAGCTCTAAGAAGATCTCTTTCACATGATAAAGTAGAGAGATATTTTTCTGGATCGAGTTGTGATTTATAAGATGAATAAACATTAAGTATGTGTTTATGAATCACGAATACCATGTGGAATGCCACGTGTAATTCTGTCATTATGTTTTGTAACACTTAATCAATTCATGTACAGTGAAACCTCATTCAGTAGAAAACTTCATAAGTAGAAAAAACCTTCAGTCCTGCGCCATGACTGTGGAATATATATTTTTTAGGTATTTTTTTAACTAAAAGCCTAGACAAGTCTATATCAAACTAACCAAGTCTAGTTCGCTTGATTCCACATATGAAAACTGCAGAAGGGGAAAGGTTCTTTTGAGTGTTAGTCTAAAAAACCTCTTATGCAAATACTTTTCTTTGGTCCCGGCTTTCTCACCATATGATTATCATTATTTTATATCTGATAAGTAGAACCCTTTAGAAGAAAAATCTGTTACCTAGATACATGTCCTTGCTCCCGAGACACATGTTAAATGGTACATTTGACTTAATAAGGAGAATAGAAGAAAGTATGGTTCCAAATGCATTACTGACTAAGCAGTGACTACTCCAATGAAAAGTTGCCAGAAACTTGTCTGCACTGATTTCCCTGGTAATCCCTAGTCCACAATGAGATGACACTGAGCTCATCTCACTAATAACCTGTTAGCGTAACGAGGTAATTATACTCAAGATGTGTTCTGCGGAAGGGATTTAAAAAAAATAAAAATTGTTTAGTTTTTCTTATTTAATTTTTAAATATATATTTTTTTACTCTGATATTGAAGGTACAAGGTAAATGTCTCTCATTGGTCCTGTGAGGCCGGGTGCAGGACTTCAAAACGACTCTCAGCATATTTCATGTACTTTTTAGACACTATAACTATAACTATATATAACTATAATATTATTATTGTTGTTGTTTTGGTTGTGTTCTGGGAAAGAGATGATTAAATATATTTGATGTTTATTTAAGATTACATTTAAGCATGAACTACAGAAGATAACCTCATGACTATGTTTCACAATGTATAATCTGCTAATATAATGTGGAATGTGTGAATGAATTTATATATAGGTTAGTGTGCCATG